TAAGAGAATGTTTTTAATCAAGTGTAGATTGTGTCCATAAAATTTCAGTTTAAAATTCAATCGGAAGTCAATAAAATAAATTATTAAAAAATATGAGCCAAAATATGTATAAAAAGTATTGTTTTTCAATAATTTATTTGACTGATGTACTTCTAAATTGAACTTTAAACTGATTTTTTTTACATAATCTACACTTCATAGAGAACATGATCATAATTTTCACCAACAAAATCATTCCAAAGAACTTCAACAAATTCCACCCGAAAAATTGTTAGTTTAGGGCTGAAAAAGCAGCCTACTCACACATATTACAAAGAACTAAACTTGGGCCTATTTTTTACCCAATTTTTTTGGGCCTAGGGCGCCCGCCCCGCTTGCACCCCCCCTAGGGCCGCCCCTGTGTATATATGTATGTACAGCCCCGTCTCAAAGTAATGTAATAAATATACACCGACCAGAGTTGTAACTAGTAATCTAGGTTGCGGAGATGGTAGAAGTTCGCTCTAGTTTCTTTACATACTCGGGTTCGAGTCCCCCTGGCGCCTGATCTTTTTTAATTGTTTAAACCTCCTCTACTTTCTCTTCTTTTGTGACTGTTTTAGTTTTAATTTTTTTCGTATCGCACTACATTTCTTTTACTTTTATTTTACATTTTTATTTTTCCAATTCATAATATTTAACTTTTTTTAGTTTTTCGAATATTGACATGTTATTTACATTTTCGGTTTAGTACAATGACTATAAAGTTTTAACTTAACATAACTATTTATTCTTTCCTTTGGTACAAATACGCCAAAACTTCTTGTTAATATTTGAAATATGCGACTTTAATTATATGTGTATAATTAAATTTATGTAATACATTTGCATGAATAAAACAATTAATACATAAAAATATAGGTCTAAATAAAGAGTCACTTCATGAAAATGAAAATATTTCTTCTGCATTCAATTTGAGATCAAATTAATCTATATAAACAGTGGAGGACCTAGGGGGCAAGTGCCTCGGCTTCCGATCATGAAGTTTAGTATTAGTACTTAAGATACAAACTGTGCCCTTGTTATCTGGGCAAAAAATTAGAGTATGTTTCATAAATATTACCGGAATATAACTAATGAACATAATCATGGTCACTAAAATTGCTATGGTAGTACCTAAGTCATATATTTGTCCACTATCTTTATTTCAATCATATTGTCATTATTTCAAAAAACTATTAGAAATATAGGACTCCCCGTCAAAGACATATAATAATTGTAGTAAGAAATATAAACAACTCTGAAGTTGTGATGGAGCACATTCTTATAGTTAGATATGTTGTTATATGGTTACTGCACTTTCTTTGAAAAGTGGCATTGATGATTTTTTACTTGTTGTGAATAATGTCGATCCAAAGTTAAAGTTTAAAGATATGAAAAAGGTTCTAATATGCGGGATAAACTTAAAAGATTGAAGACTTTTATCTTGATGAATACAAGTTCATACATGAAAGAATGTATCAATTCGCGATAAATTAGTTTCAAACTGACAAACCCTTTAAATTTTTTCTATAATATGATACTCGTAAAAGGTAGATATATATATATATATAGAATCATATAAATAAATAAAGTTGTATTAAATGATAAAATCCTAAACTTGACTTATACTTCATTTTTAACACGATGGTATTATATTTCATTCAAGTACCAACAAATTTTATGGCACAATGTATAACAGCGACATGATCCTAGTTCAAATATGAAATCATGATCATTTTATAGTATGAAAAATAGAGAAAATTCTAATGTAAAATCATAAACTGCACACAGATGAGTCATTTCTTATCCGTCAAATTATGTATTTCTTTCCAAAAGTCAAATATTATTATTTAGAATTGTCTTAATGAGTTCACAATTAGATTTATAATCCATATATGTTCACTGCTTGACGTTGGCATTGAATAATCTATTTCCAATTAAAAATATTAATTTGAACGCACTTAACAAAAAAGACCAATGACACACCTAATTCGGCCCGAGCCGACCCATTTTCATCTATGTTGGAGTGCCCCTGCTTCGGGAAACTTCTGGGTCCGCCAATATATAAATACATAAAAAAAATACAGTAGAGATTATATATCTTTCCAACTCGATTTTTTTCGCCCCCTCAAATTTTGTTCTGATTCCGCCACTGCAATCAAGTGAATGATAGGTACGGTACTCATTCATTTTTTGCAGACTCATAGTAGTGGATAAAGATGGTTGTCTTTATATGTGCAATTTCCGAATTTGTAGGCAAGTGAGTGATGGCGTCATTGAGGATAGAGTTCTACGTACAGTGGAGCTACAGCTGGAAGGAGGGATGCTCCATCAGACCTCCAAACGCTTCTTTCCTTTTCCCAACATAAACGCCAGACTTTTGTGCACAACTTCACGGACATAATTGCAGACCTCTCTGTATTTTATTCAAGTTGGTGGGTTTTGATCATGCCACATTATTCCCCGTTTGGTTAGTGCCCAATCTCTGGGCGGTGGATGGGGCGAGACACTCCAAAAGTTACCCTTCATTATATTGAGGAGGTGAAAGAGTCAATTGATAAAACACATTTGGTGAATTTCATTACGTACTAATTGTGCGAAACGATGGAAGTTACACCATACGGGTGTCATAAGTAGTAAGTTTTGGGTATGAGTTTCTACAATTGCGATGAGTTTTACTATTTAAAAAGTATAAAAATTCTGCAAGTTTATGACTAAGGGGTGTTTGGATCTGATTCTCAGGGGTGTTTGGATCTGATTCTCAAAACTGATTCTGCTCCTTCAGGGAGCAAAAGCAGCGGCTAGAGTGTTTGAATAAAATTCCAGAAGCACTTCTGGAGCTCTAATTTACTCTCAGAATCAGTTTTTTTAGAAGCTGGGGGGTACCAGCTTCTGAAAACTGATTCTGATTCTGCTTCTGCTTTTAAAAAAGAAGCAGAAGCAGAATCACTTCCAAACACCCCCTCAATCACTATCTGACGGTTCGTGATTAATCTCATTTATATTCTCTTAATTTTCGAGGTGAGGGTCAGATTGGTATTCGAAATTGCATAAAAAGGTCAAATAAATCCTTATATAGGAGGCTCTGTCCGGACGTCGCCGTTTGGGGTGGTTCCCGGTGGAATTTTTTGAGCATCTAATTCATTAAGTCTAGTTTACTCGTACCAAATTTCAGCTAAAAATTCAACCGGTAAGGCATTCAAGTGAATGCTTGAAGATAACTGCGCTGTTAAAAGCGCAGTTATCTTCAAGAATTCATTTGAATGTCTTTCCGATTGAAGTTTTAGCTAAAATTTGGTATGAGTAAACTACACTTAATGAATAAGATGCTCAAAAAAATTCATCAAAAAATTCCACCGAGAATTGCCTCAAATGGAGACGGCCGGACGATAAGGACTTATTTGACTGTTTTTATGCAACTTTGAGTACCAATCTGACCTTTACCTCCTTAATTTTCAGAACCATATTGGGACTTCAGGGTGGATTGAGATCTTCTACCTAATACGCAGAGTACCTTGGGAATGAGAGAGCCTTGAGATACCGATGAACTCCGGTCATTGAGTTCTCGATTACACGGTTTCCCTTGATCAGGCACCCTACCTTTAGCAAGACAAAGAGTTAGAATCCCTTTGGGGCAAGAATCCTTTATTTTAGGGGTTGGCATAAAATCCGAACCGAACCGGTACCGAACCGTCCCGTAATGGTACCGAACCGAATACCGGATATTTAAATGGTTCTATATAATTTTGTCCCATACCGAAATCGTACCGTTTGAAATGGATACGGGACCGGTCCTAGATTTTGAGATCCGAAAAATACCGAACCGAACCGTTTGAAAATAATGCACTTGTATTTTTTTATATATTTTCTATACCAATTCAATATATCTCTTTTATAGACCAACAATTCTATAGCCCAAGTATGTATTTATGCGTCTTTAAAATAGCTAAATGTGTGTGTTTATATATAGAATATATATACATATATATAGAATATATATACATACATATATATATATTGCAATTTATTTATTTTTTAGATAATTTATGTTATATTTTGGTATGTATTGAAAGAATATTAGTATATTACTACATATAATTTTAGACAAATCATTAATGACTTCATTTCTAGTAATGTTAGCATACATGACTTTTTGTAGTATCATGTTTGTACAATTTTACAACTTAATTAATATGGTTTAAATCTTAGCACTCAAGGTTCAACTATAAATTAAATTAGAACTACGGAGTAATATTTAACCTAGAATGAAGAAGAAGAATGTTGAAGATTTCTATTATATTCAATAATTTGATGATATTCATTTTTATATTTTCACATGAACTAAGTAAATTAAGGATAATATTTATCTTGTGGGTCATCATTTTACTATACTCTTTCTTAGTTGTGTTGCACAATTTGTTTATTTGTGAATTTTAGTCCTATATAGCAATTTCTTGTATTTATATCAATATTTCATGTGAGTTGGTTGATGTGATGATATTTACTAATTGCAAGATTTGTTCAAATTTTTTAGCATGTGTTTGGTATTGTATCGTACCGTGTTATACCATTCCAAAACGACATGATACCGAACGGTTCCATCCTTGAAACCGGACTGTATCAGACCGTTAAAAACCTCGAGAATACATTACGGATTTTACTAATTTAGTGAACCGTTCCGGACCGCGCTCACCCCTACTTTGTTTGAGCCCGTAACACATATCACGACCATCCCGAGGGATGGATAGCACTGGCGGGCCCACCTAGGTGCACCCTTTTTTTCAAAAAAAAAAAAGGGAGAAATTATGCATGATCATGATAATCTTGTGGGGACACAATCAGTCCGTCTTAAAAAAAAACTTGGATTCGACCTGCTTTAGTTTCATGACAATCCAAATACTCCAAATTCCACCAAACTCGTGCGCGTTTGAGACTAGAAATTTCGTCGTCTTCCCCCCACGACCTAACCCCAATCGCCGGCGTACTTTTGATGGTCCTTTTATAACCTGGCCTGGGACTCATTCTTTCTAATTACTCTTCTCTACTTTCAATGGCTTCCTCTGTTTCATCCGTTTTCCTGTTCTTCTTCATGCTACTCCCTTTCTGCTTGTCTAAAATCTTAGTTCTTCCACTTGCTCATTCCCTGTCAAGAACCCAATTCAACAGTACCCACCACCTCCTCAAGTCAACTTCCGCCCGCTCCGCCGCCAGGCTCCACCATCACAGCCACCGCCGGATTTCCCTCCCGCTTACTCCGGGAAGCGATTACACTCTGTCTTTCACCCTCGGTTCCCAGACCATCTCCCTGTACATGGACACCGGAAGTGACGTTGTTTGGATCCCCTGCCACCCGTTTGAATGTATTCTCTGCGAGGGAAAGTACAACCCCGCCGCCGTCCGGAATCCGGGCCCTCTCAACCTCAGCTCCGCCTCGCCGGTCTCCTGCAAGTCGCCGGCATGCTCCGCCGTCCACTCCTCCCACTCTTCCTCCGACCTCTGCGCCATGGCTAAGTGTCCTCTCGAGAACATTGAAACCTCCGACTGCCATTCCCACTCTTGCCCGCCGTTTTACTACGCCTACGGCGACGGCAGCTTCGTGGCTAAGCTCTACAGAGATGGTTTATCTGTGCCAATGTCGTCGCCGTCGCTGGTTCTGCGGAATTTCACTTTCGGCTGCGCTCACAGTGCTCTCGGCGAGCCGATTGGCGTCGCCGGGTTCGGCCGTGGAGCCCTTTCGATGCCGGCTCAGCTGGCGACCTCCTTCCCGGACATCGGAAACCATTTCTCGTACTGTTTGGTTTCTCACACGTTCGACGCGAACCGTGTTCGGCGACCGAGCCCGCTCATCCTTGGCCGGAACTCGGTCGGCGAAAACAAGGCGATACAAATCCCGGCCGATGATTTCGCATACACCCCGATGTTGAAGAACCCGAAGCACCCGTATTTCTATTGTGTCGGGCTCGAAGCTGTCTCCATCGGGACACGAAAAATTGACTCCCCGGAGAATCTCCGGAGAGTTGACAGACGAGGAAACGGCGGCATGGTGGTAGACTCCGGGACTACATTCACTATGCTTCCGCAGGTTTTCTATAACGCGGTGATCACTGAATTTGACAAACAAGTCGGGTCGGGTCATAAGAGGGCGGGTGAGGTGGAGGAGAAAACCGGGCTCGGGCCTTGCTATTATTTGGATACGGGTATGGGTGATCGGAAAGTGCCCCAAGTTTTGCTGCATTTCGGGGGGAATTCAAGTGTGACGATGCCCAGCAAAAATTACTTCTACCAGTTTGTCTACGGCGGAGATAAGGGTCAGGCGAAAAGGAAAGTCGGGTGTATGATGCTGATCAGCGGCGGCGATGAGGAGGATTCCGGCGGTCCGGCCGGTTTATTGGGAAACTATCAGCAACAAGGGTTTGAGGTGGCGTATGATTTGGAGAAGGGCCGGGTCGGGTTTGCCCGAAGGAAGTGCGCATCTTTGTGGGATACATTGAGCCGCCACTAACCTGCGCCTCAAGTTTGTGATAATTGGAGTCAATGCCGTCTAAGTTGACTTTTTGAAGATGACGTGGCTGATTAGAACGACTTAAGTCAAAATTACTTATTCGAGCAAGGGAAAGTTCGAGCGTCGCCGACCTTTAGAATTTAAAAAAGAATTTAAAAAAGAAAAAAAAGCAAACAAATGAATAGTGACAAACGAAGGAAGGCAAGTATCGGAGTTGTCCATGAATGAGGACGGTCCATGTTTTATTGAAAAGGGGAAAAGCTTTTAAGAAGCTAAATCTGTCTTGTTTGACATAAAGTGCTTTGATTAGTATAGGATAATAATCAAAATATATAATGATGTACAGAAAAAATCATAATGCTTGATGTTTGTACATTATTAAGTAATTGCAATACTTCATTCCTTCAGTTGTACTCCGTGGTATGTTTTTATTGTGCTTTCTGATCTACTATGTTGTTTTAGCAAAATTTTGATAAGACCAAACTATTAAAAAGGAAAAGGAAATTTATATGAAGAACGAGTCTCATACAAGAGCAATGAAGAAGATGACAAGTGAGCAAATAAAAGAGAAGTTCTATGTATTATTTGAAATGAGTAACTGCTGATTACAATGAGGGATATCATATTTATAGGAAGGGTAGTTAATGCTCTCATGATGACTTTGTCCGTTACTGACAGGTTGGTCGTACGTTATGACGATTTTGAATCTGTCATAAAAGTTGGTCAATTACTATCAATACCTTCCTTAATCACATTAAAGAGCCTAATAATGTATAGAAAACATTACAATAATTAAGATTGAGATTTGTGGGCGCTTTATTAACTGTTGTGGTCAATTATCTTAAATGCAACATAAACCGTCAATTTCTTGCTCTAACAATTTCCCTCTTTCGAGAAGTTGACGCGTACGATGGGCGGGTCACACCGTTAAGCGGCAATTTGTCTAAATTTTAAAAGAGCTTATACTTCACATCTTGGTTTATTGCGTCTATTGACTCATCAACGACTTGTCATGACGTATTGATCAATTCAGTTGACGAAATGTTCCGTCTTTCCTTCTAGTAATTTCCAATCAAACCCGTCTCCTTGACTGAACAATGAAGACTGAAAGCTGGCTTTTTATCTTCTTCCCTCCAAAATTGTGTTGGCGACTACATGCCTCTCTATGTTCAGGCCTAACAGAGACGGTTGACATCATGTGCTTATATCGAGGGATATGCTCTCTAGGATCCGTGGTTCCGTCAAAATGGCTCCATGGGTGGTATGACAAATTTATTTGGCTATTCGACATGCATGATCGAACTGTCAAAAGGTGAATCTTCATAACACGTATGAGAAGTTATGTCAAGTGAAGGGGGAACTCCAGGAATTGCATTGATCCTCTCTTGCATTTGTCGTAGCTGGTCCATTATCATTGACATTGGATCCGTCATGCCTGGTTGAATTGGTCCCGCCGTTGGAACTGTAGGTCTGGCCATTTGGGTGGTCTCTGGTCGGGTTGGTGACGAGATAAACATGACTTCTATACGTTTTCTCCCTTGATTTAGATCTGCTGAGGTGACGGGTCTATAAGGACGTTGTGTCTCGGATTCAAGAAGTGGCACACCCAGTGTGTTACGTCTAGGATTTTGCATGAAGTTGGACAGATCGGGATCCCTAAAGGTCCTGCTCCTATAATGAAGAATGGAGGGCTCTGTTGGAGCTGAGATTGTAGTCGTCGAGGGCATGCTCTGAGTGGCTAAATATAGGTCGTCCCCTTGGATCTGCTTTGAATGGTCTACGAGATGACCATTGATTGTGGTTTTCCAGTTGGTGACAGACCTAGTGTGAGGGAGACGGGATCCGTCGTTGTTGCAGGCGGATCCGTCGCTGCCGGGGTGAAACCAAGACCCAGTCTCGTGGCATCATTCATGGCGTCACTCCTCCGGTTAATTCTTGAGTTTGAGACTTTCGACATTGCCGGTTGTACCTGGGATCGAAGCACGTCATTCTCCCGTTGAAGATGTGCTATTCGTTCCGCCATCTCACGCTGGACCGTCTCTAGCTATTCGTGAAACTCAATCAACAAGGGATTAGCTCCTGCCATGGTCGATCTTTCTCTTGCACGAGGCCCCACGGTGCGCGCCAAATTATTTTAGCAAAATTTTGACAAGCTAAAACTAATTAAAAAGGAAATTTATATGAAGAACGGGTCTCGTACAAGAGCAATGAAGAAGATGACAAGTGAGCAAATAATACAGAAGTTCTATGTATTATTCGAAATGAGTAGCTGCTGATTACGATGAGGGGTATCCTATTTATAGGAAGGGTAGTTAATGCTCCCGTGATGGCTTTGTCCGTTACTGACGGGTTGGGTGTACGTTTATGACGATTTTGAATCTATCATAAAAGCTGGTCAATTACCATCAATACCTTCCTTAATCACAATAAAAATGTATAGAAAACGTTACAATAATTAAGATTGACTCTTGTGGTCAACTCTTTTAAATGCAACATAAACCGTCAATTTCTTGCTCTAACATATGTATTACTGTATTCTATTTGCTATAATGGCATGTCAATTTTTTTAAATTGTGATGACTTTTGAACACATGGCCTTTTGGAATATTGTCATAATGATATCATCAAAATACAAAGTACTTAAATTTTGTTAGTAATTTCTCTTCATAGTGCATTTTAAGAAATCATTAAAAGCCTTTTAATAAAAAATAATTACTTACATATTTATGACTAAAGTAAAAAATGTTTATAGAAATGTGATTAATTAATTATTAGAATATTAATGTAATCATGATAATTTATGTACAATTTTTTGAAATTAAGTTAGCATGACACTACATTGTATGAGTAGTAACTATTACTCATATTTTATAAATAAGTTTTATTTTGATAATATTTTTGAAAATAACCCTTTAATAACCTCTATTTACATGTTTTATCAATTAATTTCATTAATTTCATGCACTGAGTTGTGTAATAATAAATTTAAATCAGAAGTTACTTTTCTAACCAAAACTTTAGAGGAATTTAAAAAAAATGTAGAAAATCATCTTAACTATATTCCTATATATTTTTCCTTTATTTGGTTAATAAAATATATCTTTCTCGTAATTCAGCGTATTCAACCATTCCAACAATTTTATCGAATTCAACACATTTTATCGATTCAATTAATTTCATTATTTCATGAATTTATTTAATTTCATAATTATTAAGTGGGCTCTAACTTTCTAAGGATGAGAGAATTAAAATACATGCAATAAATGTTTGTTTTTAATAGGTCATAATCTCAACTTTACATAATCCCAGAATAATCTCACATTTGCTTTCATTGGACCCTTTTTTTGAAAATCTTATATAAATAATCCCACCAATGTAGGTCATCAATAGATCAGGGTTTAATGAAAGAAGATGAGGTGCAAAAGTTAGATTATTCTTGGATTACGTAAAGGTGAGATTATTATGAGACGACCAGTGAAAGATGATATTATTCTTGTCAAGTTTTACTTGTTTTTATCTATTCTGTACATAAATGTGGTGTTCTAATGATTATTAATTTTGATGGGATAACCATAAATTGATATTACATCTTCTAAAATTTATATTATGGGGTCACGAACTTCATATTTAAACATACTTTTTACTCCATCCGTTCCACTGGATTTTGCCAACTTTCCCTTTTTGTTTGTCCAAAAAACTTTGCCACTTTCTCTTTAAAGCAATGAATTTGTGACTCTGTTCATTTCTCTCTCCTCTACACAAATCTCAACCACACAATTTTTACTATTATAATTTCTCACCTAACATCAATTAACTTGGCAAAGTTGAGTGAGACGGAGGTACTATAATTTAACATAATTATATACGGAGTATGTGCATACATAAACTAAAAAATAGATTGACAAAAAAACTTAAAAGTGGCAGGGCCGGCCGGTACCTTAACCCCGCCTGTCAATACCATTGAATTGAATTGAATGTCCTAATGACAAAAGAGCTAAATGCGTTGAAGTTTCTATAATTCTATTTGTATCTATCTTGTACTTCGGACAGAACATAATGGTACGTACGGATTAGTATTTTACAAGAAACCAACAAAAACCAAACCAAATGTGGGTATAGCAACAATAATGGAGGCTGGGCAGCCATGATTTATTGAAAAAAAATTGGTTTTGACGAAACAACAAATCAGGCTTGATACAACATCTTTTGATTACGATCAAATAGGTGAGTGTAACAAATCAATATAAATCATATCCAATATATCGCACTTAAACATATATATAAATCAATAATTAATGCTCCGTAATATATATAAAATGATAACAATTAACAAACACCATATCAAGTCATGCATTCAAATCTATCAGGTAAATTCATCCTAACAGATCAACTTGATAGGAGGAGACTGAGAATAGCCCAAAGTCTTATATAATGTTTTATTGTTTTATAGCTTTCGATGTGAGACAAATATATTGACATGTCTCCCTCAGCCCGAATCAAACTGAATAATATCAGAGTGTATAAATTGGTCAAACAGATCCTTAACAAGGTATCCTTAATAATGAGTGCCAAACAAGCAGTCAAACCACAACCGAATTTGGCCCTAATATCATGTTAAGACTCGGGGTTTCATCCTAAAAGGTTAGTCTGATAGCAGAAGTAGCTCAAAGTCTTATATAATTTTTTATTTTTTATAACTTTCCGGTGTGACAAGTAATTTAACACAACATATACTATTCCATATTCCATCAAATGTAAACAGAGAGCCTAATTTCTCAATTACTTTACATAAATAGTTCATATGTTTTGTTTATGATATTTAAGGCCATATAAAGTGTTAAAAAATCATTTTTTTTTTGCCAAAATTTCCCATGAAAACAATTAATTTTGCCAGAAAATCATTTTTTGTGGAAAGATATTATTACTCCGTACTATTTTTTTGTTTCAATAGTAGATGTTTAATTTGCGATGTAACTCGTATTATGAAAAATGTAACTCGTGGTGTTGAAAAAATTAACTCAGGTGTATGCAAAATGTAACTTGTTGAGATAATTTTTAATGTAACTCACACGTATAAAGATGTAAAACGCGCATAAGAAGATGTAACTCCATATACTGAAAATGAAACTGCAGAAATTTTTATAAACATAACTCAAACATGTGGAATGTAAACCACACATATGAAAATGCAATATCATGTTTTAACAATTGTAGATCTAAATAACCAAATTTAATGTCTTAAAAGCACTAAAAATATACAAGTACATAATATAAGAGAGATAAAAGATACATTATAGGGAAAAGTGTATGAATATGAATTATTATTATTATTATTATCATTATCGTTATCGTTATCATTATCACTATCGTTATCATCATCATCATCATCATCATCATCATCATCATCATCATCATCATTATTTTGAATTGAAAATATTCCAATTACTCCACAATATATTACAGAGTATTATTTACTACTACTATTATTACG